TCACATTATAACGCCCCCACGGCTGAAAGAGCGAACATGTTTGGTGGGACAGGGATTCGAACCCGCGACCCGCAGATTGCGAGTCGAGCCTAACCACCTGGCCATGCCGGGCCACTACAGTTTTTATTCCACCAATTTGGGACCTACTTTTTAAATTTGTATTTAACATATTAAGTTAACAATAATCATAATAATGAATTTCCCTTGTTCTTAATCTTTTTAGAAATAGAACATTTTATTTTGTTTTTTGTAATGAAAAAGACGAGCTGAGTAATTAAAATGGTCGTAGAATCTAAATTAGAACAATAAGATACGCCCTTCGTAGCATATATGACGTGTCATGTTCTAAGCGGACACTCTAATTCAAGATAATTTTGAATCGTAAAACCTAGTTGTTTGAAGTTTCGCCGATTTCACTTTTACAATAAAGCAAAAAAATAATTTGACAATTAGAATTATTCCAGCAATATATCACTCATCGTCACTAGATGGCAGCTGTAGCACATTAAATAATTTCAGCCAGAATAGATACAAATAGCATTACGGTGGCTCGACGACAAGTCTGAGGGTTTATAAAGCTAAAATTCAGGTTTCAATATTCGTGGTGGGCAGAGAACAGATAGCCCATTGTGCAGCTTTATACTTAAAAGCAACAAATAAATAGAAATTTGTATCTAGCCTGATTCTTACAAGTATGTTACAAGTTCAAGCCTACTTTTATATGTGAACGTTTATACATATAAGAAAACCATAATCGCACTGGATATTAGTTTTATCTATTTAAAGATAAAACTTAAAGACTTGTTCTTTCGCAATGCACAATTATTGTAATAGTGAAAATTTTGATATTTATTTTGCCTGTTAGAGAATACTTTAATTATTGTAATGGTAAAAAAAATTGATATTTGTTTTACCTGTTAGAGAATACCTGAATTATTGTGATGGTAAAAAATTTGATATTTGTTTTACCTGTTAGAGAATACTTTAATCATTGTAATGGTAAAAACATTTGATATTTGTTTTACCTGTTAGAGAATACCTGAATTATTGTAATGGTAAAAAAATTGATATTTGTTTTACCTGTTAGAGAATACTTTAATTATTGTAATGGTAAAAACATTTGATATTTGTTTTACCTGTTAGAGAATACCTGAATTATTGTAATGGTAAAAAAAATTATATTTGTTTTACCTGTTAGAAAAGACCTGAATTCCATTAGGAACTGTAGATCATAATCCAGTTTCATGAATATATTAAACACACAAAAACCTTTCGTCGTCATTTTTATGTTCATGAACCGCTTGATAAGTTTTCTTTCTTACTGTTAGAAGTTCCTTATCAGTCCAGTTAGATACGCTACTATTCCGTTTAAGTGAGAGATCTGAACTATGAATCCTAGCATCTATGGTCTGCTACGTGTTGCGCACAAAAAACAATTTTTGCACTTTGGTGCTGTGCGTGGGTTATAAGAGTGACGAACAGATCATACTATTTGATCAGGCTAAAGAAGCCCAAGAGCAGATGTTGAACATTGTTTAATAGTCTGTCAATTCAAAATTGGGTATGGTTATGCGCAAATAATTCCGAAAAAACTATTTGAATTTCCACTTCTCCAGACACTGAATTATTTCAGCGAAAAGTAAAATAATACTTAATTTTCTACTTCTCTAGACACTGAATTCTTTCAGCGAAAAGTAAAATAATACTTAAATTTCCACTTCTCCAGACACTGAATTATTTCAGCGAAAAGTAAAATAATACTTAAATTTCCACTTCTCTAGACACTGAATTCTTTCAGCGAAAAGTAAAATAATACTTAAATTTCCACTTCTCTAGACACTGAATTCTTTTAGCGAAAAGTAAAATAATACTTAAATTTCCACTTCTCCAGACACTGAATTATTTCAGCGAAAAGTAAAATAATACTTAAATTTCCACTTCTCCAGACACTGAATTATTTCAGCGAAAAGTAAAATAATACTTAAATTTCCACTTCTCCAGACACTGAATTATTTCAGCGAAAAGTAAAATAATACTTAAATTTCCACTTCTCTAGACACTGAATTATTCCAGCAAAAAAGTTAATTGGCCACATATTTTCCATTTTTTAATGTATAGCTTTTTAAACTTTAAATGTTGTATGATAAATAGAAAAACTAAGATATTTTCAACTAAACCCCAGGAATATGAACTAAATGCTACTTATACCACAAAACGCGTTATAGAGAATCCAAAAACTAAGAATTATGGGGGAAGTAGATAGGTATGGAGTTTGACTTCCTACTTGACGTAATTATGTCGTGTAAGTGGATATATACTTTTCAATATTATTCAACAATGCTCACAGACGAGATTAAAATTGATCTTTTATTCATATATAATAAATTTGACCCTATGATCGATAATGCAGAAACTTTTTGTTGTCCAATATATAATTACTCATCATTAAACATTTTTAGATACGTGACTGTCCTATCAAAATGAAATTATCAGTTGGTTAGTAACTACATTAACAGATGGCGCTAAATGCTCGTGAAAGAGATTTTAGAATACATGATTATTTTTATTCATTTATTTTTAATAGTTCTGGCATGACTCGCAATGTGTGGGTCGTGGAATCGAAACCCGAAGCCGAACATGCCCGGCCTCTCATCCATGGGGTATTATAATGTGACAGTTAACCCCACTGTTCGTTTATAAAAAAAAAAAAAGTTACCCAAGAGTTGGCGGTGGGTGCTACTGGTTGCTTTCCTTTTAGTTAGAAGCTCAGGTACAGCGACAGCGCTAGATAGCCTTAGAAGCTTTTCCATCAACAATTCAAACAAACTAAATTGGAGAAATAAGCATGTCATTAAATGTTCGAAACGCACAAAACAAAGAATATACAACTATTTACTTAGACTCAATATTTTGTTTAATAAAAACCTTCCTACTACCCAGAAAGCGTTAAATTTTGATTAAAGATAAATTTTTAACTTTAACCTTATTCTAACAGAGCGGATTTCTTGTTTTTCCTTTCATCAAATAGTTAAATACAATAATAGAGTTCATAATTAAGACCCTCTGAATGCGATTAATTAATTATAATGAATACAGTCAAACTGACAATATATATTTAACCTCATAAATTAATATACAGTGGAACTCTAGTCTATTGACTACCCTCGCCGTTAAGAATATTCTTGACCATAATCCCAAACCTATCAATATCTTACAGAAGTTCGGACAGTTTGGGAGATTTAAGTGTAAAATAATCTTTATAAAATATTCAAAATTACTTCAAGCAGTATAAGCGAAATACTAATGAAACCAAGTATAATACATAAATCGAACAAAACCATTAGAATCAGTCAAAACACATTTTTGTACATAAAAATGATTTACACTAAAAATTCACCTTATAAATATTGAAGTATAAGTACGACAACTAATAATTTTACCATCTGATAATTTAACTAACCTAATCACCTCATGCTGTACTACATGTAAGGTTCACCATAGCCAAAGAAATGTGATGCTAACAGTCGCAAGGTATACCGAAATTGTTCAAGTCAGTATTTCCTTATTAACAGATCCCTCACGAGCCAGTGGGGGACATTTTTGTTTAAAAACAAAAAATTAACTACCCAATCCGGTTTTTCTTAATTTGAACTGAAATTTGTTGAATATTTTTAGTGGCTAAAAAGAAGGCATTTCTCGCACTCTTTAAATGCCCGCACTCTTTTAGCGTTGGGGCTGCAAAAAGTGGTTTGAAGTAGTAAGGTGACTGAAATCCGTCAGCGCATCACGAGCTTAACGGCCAAGCACAAGAAGCATGGAGGTCTCCAAATAACACGCAGAGGTATTCAGGAACCGTTTAGAACCACCTTGGTAGATATTGTGCAGCAATCCGAGTACAATATTATGCCTGTAGCTGCTTTCAAAGTGTTCCTGTCTGTTCATCCTACTGCTGACTATCGTGATGCTTCGACCTTCCCTACCGAATCGCAGGTGAAATCGTTCGTATCTCAATTGAAAGGTGATATCAGAAACATAAAAGGTTGGCAATTACGTAATTAATGGTATGATATGTACTGATATCTACTGAATTTTCTTCCAGCGGTTAGACCTTAGTACTAGCTAGTATGGAGACTTGAGGATGCTGTATTTCACTTACAAATTTATCATTTAACAAACGAAAATTTGTCTCGAAAAGATACTTCCAAAACCACCTGCTTTTGGAGTTTCCGAATTGAACTTACTTTTAATATTCAACAAATTGTAGTGTAAAGATACCCCTTAGCTCCTGAGGGATGTGTTAAATTATTAAATTCAAGAGACACGGAATCGGTGATAGCGCATTAACTAGTCATCTGGTTTTTACGTGTTTTATAAGTAACTTATACTCTGTTATTCTTCAGGAGATTAGTTTCATTAACAGTAGTGGTTAAAATATGATATATATTTATTATTTTTATTATTATTATATAAATGCTTTTAATATGAGGCTTATTTTGTATTGCTAGCCTAGTGTATGAATATAAAACTAATTTAAATCTGCTAGGCTGGACGAACGTCGTTAGATATTTTTAGAATTAACACCGAAAATGTTGCGAAGAGCTAGGCGAGGATGAATAACTGCGTTCTAATAACTATATGTATTTACTTTATGACATTAAATACTCCTAATTAAACTAGTATATTAAGCTGGGCTAACCTTTAGATCTTATTTATGTAGATATCTTGCTCTGATCGGAAGGTATTGATAAACAGTAAAAATAAAAGTTCAATCAAGGACTAAAAGTGAAGATGTAATCATGACAGATTTGAACTTGCTACATAATTAAACAAACTTCAAAATACAGTAACAAAAACTCTGTTTAAGGAAAGTGAAACTGGGTTTATTTGTTCTGTCCATAACATTTTGTACTGTTCAACATATTCTAATTTATCTAATGAAATGCGAGGAGTAAAAATTAGAGCTTAATTAACTTCGAATTCTTATATAAGGAAGAAAAAAAATTATAACTTTAAAATCTAAATTCTCTGCTTTGCTAAAAAAATCTTGAAAATGAACATTTGATTAGTGATCCTTAAAGCTAACTCCAAATGTATTGCATTCTTTGTTCTGGTGGATAAGTAAGTTTAATAGTTTCAAGAAAATCTTGAAAATTTGTTAAAGCTATATCATTAATATATCTACAAGAGTGGTTAATGTGCAACGCCTTAGTATAGCTTTCCTTACTAAGATTTGCTATAAACGAAAATTGTATTTAAAATAATACAAATTAACAACATGTGGGCTAAAGTTGCTAACCACAGGTATTCCTTCTATTTTATTAAGAATGTGTTGACTAAATTCTACAAAAACTGTAAAGTAGAAAAAGTTACAACTTGTAAGAGTTCGTTTAATGTGACACAGTGACACGCTTTATAATTAATACTGACACAAACACATTAATGTTTACTAACACAGCATGGATCATAGTGTGAACCAGTGACACGCTTTATAATTAATACTGACACAAACACATTAAGGTTTACTAAACACGGCATGGATCATAGTGTGAAAAAGTGATACGCTTTATAATTAATATTGACACAAAATCATAAACCTTTTCTAACACAGCTTGGATCATAGTGTGAAACAGATACGCTTTATAATTAATACTGACACAAACACATAAATGTTTACTAACACAGCATGGATCATAGTGTGAAAAAGTGATACGCTTTATAATTAATATTGATACAAAATCATAAACCTTTTCTAACACAGCTTGGATCATAGTGTGAAACAGATACGCTTTATAATTAATTCTGACACAAACACACTAATATTCACTAACACAGTATGGATCATAGAGTGAAACGTTTAATAATTAATTATGACACAAAAATATAAATGTTTACTAACACAGCATGGATCATAGTGTGAAACAGATAAGCTTTATAATTAATGCTGACATTAACACGTTAATGTTTACCAACACAGCATGGAGCAGCCTGAATTGTTAAAATATCTCGATATTGCTGTTAATAACTTTGCATCCAATGCTTTAATAGCAGAAAGACTTTAAATTCATTTCCACTGCTGTTCATCCAAGTACTTAGCGTGCCTGGTCTGTGAACCCAAAGGTTCTTAATTTGCGTCTCATTGCCTCAAATATGCGCACCTCACTCTGGGGCCGTAATTGCCTAGAAGTGGCCGCTAAATCCCACTTTTTAGTCAGATGAATGTCGCTCAAGAGTTGGAGGTGGACACTGCTTATCAGCTGCCTTCCACTGGTCTACTAGATCAATTTCGGTATGATTACGCGCAAATAACTTATATATAGATTTAGTGAACTTAAAGTGATACTTTCTTAGTTTTTAGTGTGACTGTAGGTATCTACCTACGTTATTTATTAAAAGAATGGGGAAAAAATTAGTCTTCAGTTAATTTTCTCTACAGAATGAAAGTAGAAGGAATTGCTGTAATTCATACACCCTTGGGCTAGGCGAGGTTTAGTGGTTAGACTTCCAGCTTGAGGATTGAAAAGCCCAAGGTTTGAGACGCACTTTCCTTTAAACTTGCTCCACATTTTCAGTTGAGGAGGGTTTACAGTTGTATCAGCCAATCCCGTTCCTTGGTTAAGAGCATACGTTGCTCTTCAGTTGATAGCGGGAACTGTTGACTGTTTGTCCTGCCTGGTCACCAGTTCTAAATTAAGGATGGCTAAAACCTTAACCCTTACCCGGTCATTTAACCACTGTGTTGTACATATGACGTCATTCATGCTGAAATGGCAAAACTCCTATATTCTCAAGAACATAAATAAGTTTTGTTTTGTTTTTTACGTCATGGAACATGATTTAATGATCACCAATTCTAATTCTAAATAAAGTTTTGTTAACTCCAAACTTTTCAAAATAAAATTATCGATACAATTTTCCCTCTATAGTTTTTCTAACTGTGCCAGTTCGGCAATCACGTGACATCTTCTATGGCAGTTATGTTCTCCCAGTACTATGAAATAATAAATACTATCACCAATCAGAAAATGCTTCTTACGTAAATAGAGAAATAATATACATCAAAACTAAACGAAAATTTAAAAAAAAGCAGCCAAGTTTTAAAAATCTTGTTTAAAATATTTTTTCTGTAAAATTTATCAACGACAATTAAAATAAAGTGAACATAGCACTATATAAGATAGAAACGCTAATAAATTTCAATAAACCAAATAATTCATAACCAAATACTTAATATTTTTCAAGATTGGTTCTCTCATAACTTTAAACAAGTATCTAAACAAAATTTTAAAAATTACACTAGCTAGAATTATATAGAATTAATATTTTTCACAATAGTAATTGAGTCAAATTGAAAATTAAAACTTTACAACGACGAACAACGCATTTGCTGGACAATAAAAATATTTAACTACAAGTGATTACTTACATTACGAGGTAACAATTGCAATTTTAATCAATAACTGTTATATCATTTTATTAAAGTGTTAAATTCTCAGAGCCCGCTAAGAACCAAAGATGCATCGTTACACCCAAGTTTGTATATAAATATTTCAACAAACCAACTTTTGGAATTCTACTACAAACATACTCGTGAATATTTTACTTTTGGAATTCCACTACAAACATACTCGTAAATATTTTACTTTTGGAATTCTACTACAAACATACTCGTGAATATTTTACGTTTGGAATTCCACTACAAACATACTCGTGAATATTTTACTTTTGGAATTCTACTACAAGCATACTCGTGAATATGTTTTTAGTTGTGGCACTTCTAAAAAATAAATATTATATTCGTCACAGCAGTAATATTTTCGTTTTGTTTTTAGTTTCGTAAATTTACGGACGTGTAACTTCGTCCAATCAGCCTTTAGTTATAAAGATACTTTTTAAACGTCAATATGAGACTTTTGGTTGTAAATAATGTTTTTTTAAATATAAAAGTTTATAAAGATTTGTATAAATATTCTTAACCAATCCCAATTTGTAACTTTTCCAGTTCATGATATTATCACAAGTATCACTACCTAGTGGCGAGGTCAATTTTTTCACTTCACACTATTTTTTAAAGCGTAGGTATTCTTCATTAATAACTGCTCTACTCTGTAATGCATTCTTCCTAACTGATAACAGTCATTGTTTTATTATATACAAAATATTTTAACGTACTTCTAGCTCTTAATATAATTAATTCTAAATTCCTTCCTGTAACAAACTGTCGGGACTTAACAATATTAGTTTATATAAGTCCATGTTTTTAGGATATTCAACGCTACTCCATTATTCTGAAATATGGTAGCAAACAGTTTGTTTGTAGCTTAAGAAAAAAGCTACACAATGGTCCATATGTGCTCTGCTCCACCACGGGTATCAAAATCCGGTTTCTGGCGTTGTAAACACGCAGACAATGAAAGGCGGTAGCAAATAGAAGTTACCAACTTACCAAAATAGTTTTAGTTCTATAAATGATCTGTGATACTTCTATATCACGGTTCACTTTATTTTATTTTTTCATTTTTCTATCACTTGTTTTTCTAAAAAAAGGAAGGAATGTAAAGCAGACGATTCATTTTTATTTCTAGTCATTGTTTTGTTCATAGTTCATGTAATTTTCCTTTTATCATTTAGTTCGGCTATATTTTTCCTTGCCTTAACCTGTTTCGTATTTGATATTAGATATTAAACGAGTTTATTAAGAAACTAAAACAAGGTTCCCCTAGCGGTGGCGTATGGATACTAAATTTATCTATGACTATTTAAAACAAATGCTAATATGTTAGACAAGTGATATGTAATCTCGTGGTCTGGCAAGGAAATAAACAGCCACTGTTCTAACAACAATCAAAACCTTCGAGAGCATTTAGATTGTGATGGGTAATATATAGGAAAGGGTTCAGAGGAGGGCTGCTAGCATGATAACAGAGACGGAAGGGTTGTCATACGAAGATGAGTTAAGATCTCTGAACTTGTTTTCTCTTTAAAAAAAGAAGGGAAAAAAAGATGGGTTTGAGACGATCTGATTGAGATGTTTAAGATTGTTAAGGAAATTGATAGTGTTCATTTCCCATCTTTTTTCATATTTAATGTTGAAAACTGTAAGACTAGGGGACACAATTATAAATTTTGATAGGGTAAAAGTCATCTTCAGCTACTACAACTTTGTTTTTCTAACAGAGTAGACGGATTGCCTTCAGATGTGGTAAATGCAGCTAATTTAAGGGGGTTTACAGAAAAGCTTGAGAAATAACGGCTGGTTTTGATTTCTTTAGGGTATAATTCAGTAGGTAGAGTGGCCTAGATGGACCAAAAGATCCTTTGCTGTCCTTTGATGTTATGTTATATATAAGTATTGATTATCAAAGTTATAGGTTGATGCAAATACTCGATTGATTATTATATCTAACTTATGATATTTTTATATTTAATATCATCATTTTGTGTAATCATAGGAATTGGGTTATTTTTTATTATTCTGTTATTTTCTTCTTCTTAATTTTTCATTATTATTATCACATAATACCTGCTCTGATAGAATATTTTGCCATTTTATTTTTCTTTGAATGTATATATATTAAGTTTTTAAAATATTTGTAAAACTTGTATTGTGACTTACCTATCTTACACTGGTAGTTTAATACATTACAAAGTTACAAACATTCTTGGTTCTGTTAACTATTCCTAAAAGTTCTAAGTTACTGAGTTTCTGCTCATTTTTATCTCTGCATTCGTCTTAGAATCTTAAGTTAATCACAGAAGAAACAAACAGTAAGGTTCAATTATACGCATCTTAGCATTTCTAAAACACGAATAATTCAATTTATTTAATTAGGAATTTTCTCAAGAAGTGAAAATTAAGATTAATTATAACTTGAACCTAAGGCTCTGCTTTATCCACTAATGCTACACTTTGAACATATTCAGTTGAATAACTAAATACCAACCTATAACCATCAACTCCAAAGTTTTTTGGAGAGTGAAGATTCAATGTATTTAATTTACTAAATGGAAACATACAGCCAGCAGTTATAACATTTACTAAAACATGATAATTTTATGTGTTTAATTTATCGCAGAGAATCGTACAGCCAGCAGTTCTAAGATAAGGATTCGATAACCATATTAGTGTTCAATAATAAGGGTTAAATGTTTACATGAAATACTTAACTTGCCTAGATATTTTTAATAATGTTTTCTAAAGATTAATAGAAGATTTTACAGGATAACGTTCATTTGTGAATAAGTAACTTTGAAGAACAACTTTTGTCCTCACTTATATATATATACATATATGTATAT